CAAGTCTTTGCCATTGTGAATTGTGACGCAATAAACATTGGAGCGCAGGTGACTGGTCATGCTTTAGTTGTTGCTTCCACCGGGTATATGCCCAGGAATGGGATGGCTGGGTCATAAGGTAGATCAATTTCCCTTTTCTTTAAGTGTCTCCAGATTTCAGCACACTTTTAATGCAGTTTTTGTGGTAAAATTAGGTGCCTCGGCTGATATTCGGGTTGGCTTATACTTGAGTATATACGGTAAATGATTACAGGAGGGGATGTAAGGTCTAAAGTGCCATCATAAGTGATTATGTACCTATTCTCACCTTCAATATAAGTCGTCTGTCGGGACTTTAAAGGGGACAAGAAGTATGCTTACTTGCTGAAGAGGACAGGTGACCTCTCTCATGGGCCTTGTCTCGGAAGTGCTCTGTCATCCTTCAACCTGAATACCTCTCCCTCTGCTTTTTGTTCTTCCTTTCAACCTCTCTTCAAACATACCTATTAGATACATTGTGGTCATCTAATAGCTGCTTGATCGTGTTAACAGAGATTAATTTTTATTTGGTTTATTACAGTGGTTCTCAACCTGTGGGTTGCGACCCCTTTGGGGGTCAAATGACCCTTTCACAGGGGTCGCCCAATTCATAACAGTAGCAAAATTACAGTGATGAAGTAGCAACAAAAATAATTTTATGGTTGGGTTATCACCACATGAGGAACTGCATTAAAGCGTCGTGGCATTAGGAAGGTTGAGAATCACTGGTCTATTATGACCTACCTGTATGTGGACCTTGAGAGAAATGTTTGCTCCTATAAGGATTTACAGTCTCTGGAACCCTAAGGAGCAGGTCGACTCTGGCCTGTACAATTGTTTTGAGTGAGAATTCACATCAACTCGTTGGCAGTGGGTCAGATGGTTAGTATGTGGACATGGTGTCCTTGAGGAAGAGACAGGTGCTAACATCCATCTGATCTTTTTACAGTCGATTGTTCTTTACTGGTTGTGCTCCAGCTTCATGGGCCTCTCACAGAACTTGCTGCTGCGTTCACCTGGATTTCGCCAACTTTGCCATATTCCATCGACTAAGTCAGCCTCACACACTCCTTACAAAGACCTCATTGATGCCTTTTGCGCCAAGTTCATTACCAAAAAATAACATACTTTTCAGTAATTTTGAAACAAGAGTCATCACATCAACTTGGAGAAGTTAGAAATGCAGCTGTTATTTAAGTACTGTGGGTTAAGATGTTTTTGATTGTTAAGAAATGTCATATATTTAATTGTATACAAAGAATATAAAATTAGAACTAAAGTTTCTAGTCCTATGTACAAAACTGCAACCTACTTGGGGTGTTAGGACTTGGGAAAATAGAATTAGAAACTGAATGATAATCACAGGACATACAACACATTAAATTTTTTAAAATAAGAGAATCTGATGTGGTAGCTTGTGACATTTTAATGGTGGAAAATATTTATAAAAGCCATGATTTTCTCTTCAGAAAACTGCTCAGACTCAACTTGGGAGCTACCTTTGAGGCTCTGAAGTGCTGAGGGATTTGGGTTCAGAAGTCTTTTTCTAATGGAACATATGATGAGTGATGATGAGTGTGTGTATGTGTGTGTGTGTGTGTGTGTGTAAAGTAACTTAAAATATAGACAGTAAAGTAGCTTGTGTGTTTTAAAAGACACCTAATATGGTAGGTAATTTTGCTTTCCAACTCTATTCTGAAAAGACAAAGAGTGAACATTAATTTTCCTATAGCTATGACATCTGGATTATTGGACTTAGTTGAATAAAGAAGGTTAGAAGGGCCACTATCTTTTATGGAGGTCATTCTTTGAGACCATCATCTCCAAACATTCTTTGAGAATAATACAGGGTTCATGCTCTAGGAGTGGTGCAGTATTGAAAAAGTTGGTAGTAGGGACTGTAAATCACTGATACAGCCTTGTTTAATTTGGAATGATACGATTAACTCTGGTTGAGATACAAATAGATTTCACACACATTTGAAAAGGTTGTATATTGCTATTGAGTTGAAATGTAGATCCATACCTGAGATTCCCTACCCCATCTGATGTTTTGTAGTGAAATAAAAACTAAGGTGAAATCAGTTACTTATTTGAGTGATATCTACTGCATCCTAGTTGTCTTATTTTATAAAGGTTTTTCAATTTAAAAAGTTATGTACAAATATGAACTTTGGTTGTGACATTACTGCAGCTAAATGAGAATTAGAGACAGATGGTGGCAGTTGGAACAAAGCCATTGTTCTCTTGACTGCTCCCCAACACCAGCAAAAGAATTGAGACTTCTGTTTCCATATATATACAATTGAAAGAGCGGGGATTCGGGGAGAGTGGCCGGTCTGTCCGGACCACATGGGTGCAAACTAAGGGAAAGAGAATGGACGGCATTCTAGCCTCCAGGACAACATTCTTGCTCTGAGCAGCCAATGCACAGAGAGGACCTTCAGGCCACAGAATACGACCACACAGAAGACCACAGAATATACCACACGGAAGACCACAGAATTCGACGCCCCTTCATTGACCCACAGTGCTAAGGGGGACAGCACTGGAGACAAAATGTGGGAGTTGTGTCTGGTCTGATATCCCCGCCCCTCCAAACACATCCCGGGTGAAACAGGAAGGGAGTGCAACAGAAAAGCAAGGGGAGCAAAGCAACAAAGTCCCAGAGGAATCCCGAAAATAGACTCGTGACTCCGGGCAGGGCTTGCCACCTCACTAGACCCGATCAGAAAACATTCACTAGGGTCAGCAGATAAACCTGGAACTACTTATAGGCTTTTTACCCATGTCTATATAAAATAGGTTGGATTATTTACAAAGGCGAGAGTGGGAGAAGGAAGAAAAAATAGCTGATACTAAAGGCTCGAGTAGAAAATGTTTTGGAAATGATGGCAACATGTACAAATGTCCTTGATACAATTAATGTATGGATTGTTACAAGAGCTGTAATAGCCCCCAATAAAATGATTTACTTAAATAAAATAATTTATTTCTGATTGAAATTGGTATTGCATTGTATGTATAGATTATTTTAGGTCACATTGCCAATTTCACGATACTAAGTCTGCTTGTCAGTAAGTATGGGATAGTCTTCCATTTATATAGGTCCTTTCAAGCTTCTTGTAGTATTCTGTAGTTTGTATAGTTCATTTGTTTCTTTAGTTTATTTCTAAGCTTTTCATCATGGGTGTGGTTATTGTAAATGGTATTGCGTTCTTAATATCTTTTTTTGTAGTTCTCTTTGCTGGCATACGGGAATCCGATTGATTTCTGGTTGCTAACTTTGTATCCTGCTACTGTATCCTCTATTGTTTCTAAGGAGTTCAGCTACTGTATCCTGCTACTGTATCCTCTATTGTTTCTAAGGAGTTCAGCATTTTTTCATGGTAAATATTAAAAGAGTATTGTGACTCCCCTTTCAAATAGCTGAATCTTCTTTTCATGTGCTAACGTTACCTGATTTACTATGATTGCACCTGTCTTCAAAATGTATATTTGGATTGCTTTTCAAATGGTTAAGTTGGGGAATACAAGCCTTTACTTCCCTCTCTGATCCCATAATTATTTCTGGGATCATGGGATATCCCCAACTATAAAGGACACTTTGCATTAGACTTGAGATAAGAGTAGCCATTTGATTTCAGGATGGTATGTACACTTCATTCACTGACAGATGTTTTAAAAAGCAGGAAGACATGTTAACAATTTTCAATTCTGTGGTGGTCTAATTTCATGAAGTGTTTTTCATAGTTTGCAGCAGTGCAAAAAGTCAAAGAAGGCATGCTACTGGATAGGACACGTCCATTCCTCAGTCTTTCCTCACTTGCTGAGTGCCTGTGGAACAGCTTGATGATGGGCCCTGAGATAGTCTATTGTGCCAACCTGGCCGATAAACATGTGGGGTTAATTAAAGGGCGGAGGGATAAATGGCTCAGTGAGCCTTGTCTTTCTTGTTCCTGGGTCTCTTGTTTTTTGATGGTCGGACCAGGGTGCGGCTGCCTTAGCCAGTTCCCTGCTTCAGCTGGCAAGACCCACTTCCTGCAAGACATCCCGAGAAGCCGCATGGACCTACCCCAATGCAGACCTGGGTGCTGGAGCAGCTGTGTGGAGACCGCTGCTAGCGCTAAGAGGCTTACACATTTACTGATTGGGCTTTTCTCCACAGTCGGCATCATTGCGTGTGCTTTGTGAGATGGAGGAGGCCTTTGTGGATTGGTGTCAGACATAGGGGTTAATGATGGACTTGTGGACTTGGGCAGCACTGGGTTGGATGTTTTCTTGATGTGCACTTACCCTTTATATGAAACTCTCTCTTATACATATAGGTTTCTGTGGATTTGTTTCTCCAAAGTACCCAGACTAATACAGGCCCATAGACTGTTTTAGTCACCCTTCCATAAAGTGAAGCAATTACCATTAATTTATATAGGAAAAAAAATTTATTCAACTCCTTTAAATAAAATAGTTTTAGGAGCATATACTTCACATTTCATACAATTTAATCATTCAATCATATTAAAGAAGAGTTGTGCAGTCATCACCACAATAAATTTCAGGATATTTTCTTTTGGAACATATTGTTAGCTCCTTGTTTCCCCTGTCCTTCTTTGCCAAGCCCCTAGGTAATTATTAATCCAGCTGTTTTCCCTATGGGTATACCTATTCTGGATTTCATATACCAAAAAACAACACTAACTAGAAGCAAACAAACAAAATGACTAGACATAACCAAAACCTTGATCAAAAATAAAGCAGAAAATATTAAAAATGGAAACAACTTTAAAACGGCTCAAAAAGGAGATCAAATGATAATACATTTTAAATCCAACTACATCGGCCATCATTGACTTTATAATGCTCTTTGTCTGAAAGCAAGGCCATTCAAATCCCTGGCCTATTCAGAGGGAATTTACCGAAGGCTTAATCCATGTGGGCACACCGCAAATGGATTTTGGGCTTCCACAATATGTCATCCATAGCCTTTTGCAAACTAGATGTTCACAACTTAAACTCTGATACCATTTTCTCCAGATTTAAATTTCATTATTTGCAATCCCTGCATTACACAGACTGGTGTACTGCTTCCATGTTGACTTGATGGACGCCTTACTTAGATGGCTCCTTGTTTTAAGCCTTTGTAGCAGTTACATTATCTCCTGTCAACTTGCCAAGGGGTAGAGTCTAGCCTGTCAATCAGGTTGCATTTTGATGACCTCATTTGGAGGCGCAGTGGAGATTAATAGCTCACTGGAGGCCAGATACAGACAGACTCTCCTTTGTCTTCCTGCTGACAAGACATATGGAGCTACGCTAGAGCCGTGGAGCTGGAAGCTCTGAGATGCTTCCACCACCACTGGATCGACAAGACTTTCCACCCACTGACCTGTGATCTTCCTGAATTCGGTGTCATTGCATGTGTTGCATGAGTTTGCAGAGGAATTTATAGATTAGTGACAGACATATGGGCTAATATCGGACTTAAGGATTTCATCTGGACTGGGCTGGGATGTTTTCCCAATATACAATTGCTCTTTTATATATAGCTCCTTCTTACACATATGAGTGTCTCTGGATTTGTTTTTCTTGTCAACCCCAACTAACACAGCCTTTAAAACTCCAGAAGCTAGTCTTTCTATTAGCCAAGCACCATCTAGTTTCTTCACCACACTTTACTATAGCACCCATATCTTCATTGATCTCTTCATGAGGGCAAGTGTCAATTAGAACCATGTCACAAGAATATTTGTTCTTGGATTGGGGCTAAAATTAAGTGGAAGTCCCAAGTTCATTCATTTATGTATGGTTTATATATGTGTCTGGCTCATTTTTGAGACATCATTTTATGATAAAAAACATTCTAAATCATTCCCTTGGAGCACAGGTATTTCTATTGATAGTGTCATTTAGCCAATGGTATAGAACTTAAAACTGATAAGAAAAGGAAATTATACAATTACAGGTCAGCTTCAGACCTCAAAATTCAGCTCTTTATAATGAATTAGGTGAAGGTTTGCAGAACAGATCTTCAATTTTTCACTCAACAATTCATTGAGATCCCCTCAGTGTACCCTCACTTGTCTCCCTTCCTTCCTGTGTTTCCTGTATTCATCCCTCCTCTCCTCACCCTCTAAACTTTGTCCTTGAGTAAATGCTGCCTTTTTAATCTTCAATGGTTGATAATTTTAACACGGGTGAGTTCAGTTTCAGACCCGAAGGATCACTGCGCTTCAATGTCTTGGGTGTCCCAGCAGTCTCTGTCCATTGAGTAATCTGTCTCTGAAGATTTTGAGTTCTGTACCACATTATTCTCCCACCCTATCTAGGACCTGTGAAGTCATCCTTTTCAGAGCAGTTGGTAGTGATAGTTAGGGTACCATTAGTTCTTCTAGTTTCAGGGTGGTGGAGATGGATATTCATGTTGTCCATCAGACTAATTGTTTCTAAATGTCTCTTAATTTTCATCACTCCCCTCCAGATGGAGAGAGACCAATAATTAGATGACTGCTCATAAGCCTTTAAAACCTGGTCACTACTCAAAGAATGATATAGAACATTATCTTTGTAAACTATTCTATGTCAATGCCCTCTATGATAAAAAATTTTGAACACTCCTAGACTCAAAACATAACCTACCCTACATAGAATTCCAAATAGCACAGGAAGCCTAAAATAGCACTGATAGTGCTCCCTTATACAGGTAAAACCTATGATAACTTGATGCTACTATGCTGGTATAGTTCCGGGAAGGAACTTGGTCATTCCATTCTTGTTTGGAAGAGAAATCTATGCATTTGAATTTTGGCACTGGTGAGAATTTTGAAAATATGGATTAGCAAAAGGACAAATAAATGTGCCTGGGAAGAAGTACAGCCCAGAATGCTCTTTAGAGGCAAGGATGGGGAAATTTAGTTTCAAGTATTTTGGATGTGTTGCCAGGAGAGAGTTCCTGGAGAACGACACTATGTTTGATAATGTAGAGGAGCAGCCATAAAGGGATGGACCTCAACAAGATGGATCCACGCAGTGGCTACAACGATGGGTTCAAATATAAGAAAATTGTGAGAATGCCACAGGGACACTG